CCCGAAGCCCCCCAGGGCCCTGGGGGGCGGGGGTGACATGCTTGACGGGTGAGCCATCCTGCGAAAGCCATCCTGCGAAAGCATCCACCTGCGAGGACCTCGACAGAGTTATCCCCCACGCCCCGAGGAGGCCCGACGAGGACAACGTGGTGCCCCCCAAGCCCCAACGACGCAGATCGCAGGCCACACCCCGGCGTAACCACACCCTTTAGACTGAGGCCTCCCGAACGGGGTCGGAGTGGCCGGGGTCGGAGGGTCGCGCTGCATCGTCGATGCATCGGCGACGTCGGCGACGCATCCGCGAAGTCGGCGTGGAGAACATCGGGCCCCACATCGAGCCACATCGCCGATGTGCCGGCGGTGCGGCGCTACCCTCCGACCGACCCCATCTACTGGCACCCAATCCGGCAGGCCCAGACTGGAATCGCCGAACGCTGGCCCAGATGGCAGAACGGTTGCAGGAAGGCCGAGGTCCAGGCCCCGCGAGGGGTGTGCCACACAAGGGCGCCGTGGTGCCATGCGGGCGCAGCCACTGGGGCCCTCGGTGGAACTCCCCACGGGGCTGCGAAGCGCGTGAGGCCCTCCCCGCCCGGCTCCGAGCGGCGGCCCACGGACGCGAGCAGGAGGAGGACCTCTGCACGAGCACCGTGGACGACGGGCGCCTCCTGTGGTCCTGTGCGCACCTGGGGCTGTCGCAGTAGCGCGGCCCGCGGGGCGCAACACCATGCTTCGGATGCTGCTTCCGCAGCTGGGCACCTCCTCCTGACCTCCTCCCTGCCTTGGAGCTACGCGCTCGCAAAGGGCCACGACTCCCGCCTCCTCCCTGGCACGTCGGCGTGCGGGCCCTGGGTCCTGGAGGTGTTCCGCCGCCTCCGCGGCGCCGTCCGCGGGCCCCTGGACAGTCAAAGAACAACTCGGAAGGAAGAGCCGGTCCCGAGGAACGCCCCGGGTCCAGGACCTGTTCCCATCGGGACCCTTTCCTTCGTGGCGGGCACGGCCCTCCTGCGATAACCTGATTAAATGGCGCGCAGGCTGCGATGGGGCAAACGCCCAGCTCGCTGACTGCTACGCACTCTCTGTGAACTGGCGCGGAAAGATACGGCTGGCGCGCCACGAGTGCGATGGGAAGAGCGTGCCAACCAACGGCACGCGCGCGATCGACCCTGCATCGTCGCATAGCAAAGGGCGAGCACGAAGGACAACGCATCGAGGCAGACTCAACCAGCTGATGTGCACGCTGAGCAGCGGGCGGACCCCGTGATGCGATGCATGACAACCTTCTGGCCAACGTTGAACATTTTGATATAGCTTATGTTCTCCCCCAGCTCCTCGTCCTGATAACGGGTACAACAGTGACGCAGGAGGCTATGGCGAGGAGCCAAGCATCTGGCGGATGAAAAACCTAGGCGGCCAATGCTTCTCGCTTTCCGGGCTCTGGAAACCCAGGCCTGGCCACAGGACCGTCACACAACGGCAGGGGATGAAAAATCGCCCCCCCGAAGGAAGGGACAAGAGGGTCTGGATGGCCCATGCCTCGAACAGATCGATCCGGTTGAATGTCTCAGGAGCCACCAGTGGCGGTGCGGGAGGCAGCCGGGCGCACGGACGCGACCGACGGGGTTCTGCTCAAAGCAGGAGGGACGGAGTGAGGAGAGGGGAAGGTCCAGCAACTGGCTCCTTGCTGCTCCTCACGGCCTCCACTGCCTGGCCGAAGCGAGGCAAGAGGGACCAAGAGGGGAGGAGGGAAGAAAAGACTGGGGAAAGGAGAGGAGAGGAGAGAGCAAGAACAATGTACTCCAGATTCCATAATAAAGTGGGGGGGTCACATTTTTGGGGGGGTCTGATTTGAGCTGTCTTGGAGGGCTCGGGGGGGTCTGGGCAAAGGGCCGCCCTTTCATGGATGGTCTGGGGGGGTCTAAGACTTCTCGTCTGGGAGGGTTGTGACCCCCTCCCTTTTATCACGAAATCTGGAGTACCACAAAGTGCACCACTGCAAACATCATCTGCTGAGGATGAAGAGGAAGGACAAAAGGACACCGGCTTAAGCCAGGTGCGCCAGAGCAGGCCTCTGACATCATGGCCCCTCCGCCCCGTCCCTCTCCGCTGCGCAGCTTCCCTTCTCTGTTCCACATAACCACGCTGGCTCATGCGGGCCTCGGGCGCCAGGCTGGCGCTGCGTCGGATCTCTCCTGCTCGCAGCCCAGCATGCGGCTCCGTCCACCGGCGCTGTCCCTCGGAGCCAGGCGATATTCACGGTTAGGTCGGGCATGTCCCCCTACACAAGCAGATCTTGGAGGAAAAATCAAAATTACCCCAAAAACATCAAACAAATACCAAAACAAATGGCCCCAGAGTATGTTGTGACTATTTTTGAACATCCCTCCTGTAGAGGGACAAGCCCGACTTGAATCTACGGCCGGCTGCTCGGTCGCCCCTGGGGTGGCGAGCCAGCCCGCCGCCGGCGGGCGCGCGCTCGCCGTGGCGCGCGCGCGCGCGCCGCGCTGGGCAAGCGGCCGCCCGCGTGGCGACAGCTGGGCGGCCGTACGCCCGCACCCCAGCGAGCGGCCGCGCCGGAGGCCCGGGCGGCGAGCTCGTCGGCGGCGACGACAGGAGCGAATAGCCGGCCAAAAAAGAAGCAGTGGTTGTGGTCATTTCCCTGGTGCCAAGCTCAACGAAAATGACCACAACCACTACTTTGTTGCTGCGGGCTGGAAGGCGTCAACAAAAGAAAAGCAGTGGCTGTGGTCGTTTTCACGCCCCGTAGTACATGGATTGCTCTCCCGTTGCTATTCGCCCCTTATCGTCGCCTCTGAAGCTCGCCTGGACGGCCCGCGCCGGGTGCCGGTGGCCGGCCGCGCGCGGCTCGCGGGCGACGTCGCCCGCGCTGCCCCCGAGAGCTGACGCTCGAGAGGGAGAGCCCGGCCGCGGCGCGCGCAGCGCGGGACCGAAGGGGCCCTGGGACACACACACGCACACACACACACACACATACACACACACAAGGAAGCAGACACAAGTATAGCAGGATTCCCCATGTTTCCCCATAGTCTTTCTGAGGTTTTCGGCTTCCCCCCCCCCGCGTCCCTTATTTTTCATTTTTCTTTTCCTCGGCGACCGGCGATGGATGGTGTCTGTGTGTTTTTGTTTCCCCTCCTGGCCGGAGCAGGACGCCGTGGAGGCCGAGCTCGTGGAGCGCCTGGCGCTGGCCGCTGCAGTCCTCAGGGCACGGCCTGGAGCACGGCGGCCTGGCGGGTCTAGGGCGACGGCACGCGCAGGGGTGCGCCCGCAGAAACCCAGGGAATCCTCAGGAGCGGCACCGAGGCACGGCAGTGGAAACCATGGGGCTGGGGACAGCTTCGGGCCGGGAAGGGGCGCCCATGGCCCTCGACGCGGGCAGGTCGAGGTGCCTGCCCGCGTCGCTCGGGCCATGCCTCCGCGCACGCTCCAGTAGAAGACAAGACAGAACGGCATGGACATAAACGTTCGGCGTTCCGCGGGGATTCTCTGCGCTGGAACCCCCTCCCTGGCGCGCGCAGCGCGCCAGGGGCGGCGCCGGAGGCGCCGCCGGGGGGGCCAGCGCAGATCCGAGAAATCCGCGCGGAGCGCCAAACGTTATGGTTATGGCCTTCTAACTTCTTCGACCCAACCCCAGACATCCAGCTATTCCACTTTTTTTCGATGCGTGGGCCCCGGGAGAGCCGGAGCACCTCTCCAGGGCCGGCGTCTCGTCCTGAGTAGCTATAGTTCGCGCTCCCGAAGCCCAGCGAGGCCGAAGCCGGCCGAAGGTCGCCTGCTCCAATATTTCTGGAGCGTCGGATCTCACCCTGACCTTCCAGAAAGCTATTTTTTAGCACCGGAGGCCTAAAAACCTAAAAAGCGAAGCGAAACAGCCTAAAACCAAGACGTATAGAATAGCTCCCGGATAGGTTTTTAAGTCGCGTGCGATTTTTTTGCCCTCCTGGAAGGTCAGGGCAGGCGCGCGTGCAGCGCGGGGCGAGGCCGGCGGCGCCAGAGAGGCGGAGGCCCTGCGGGCCGGCAGCCGCGCGCCCGGCCGCCGGCGCGGCGCCGCCCTGCGGGCTGGGCGCTCGCCGGCCCCCGGGGGCGCACCCTGCCTGCAGGGGCGCCCGCTGCGAGCCCCGCCTGGAGGACGCGCGCCTCGCCGAGGCCCCCCCCCCCAGGCACGATCGCGGCGAAAAAAGACCATCACGACGGATGGCTTTTGGCCCTTGCGGCGACAAAAGACCATCAGGACGGAGGGCCCCTCCCAGACACGATCGCGGCGAAAGAAGACAATCAGGAGGGAGGGTTTTTGGCCGTTGTCGGCCTCGGGGGGCCCTCGCCAGGCCTCGGGGCCGTCAGCAAAACCACTCGGGATGAAAAACGGGTCCTGGGGAATGGGCGGGGATTTCCAGGGACCCCGCATGGAAAAAATCGGGACGTCGCAGGTCTGGTCTTCTTCGGCCAGGGGGAGGAGGAGGAGGAGGAGGAGGAGGAGGAGGAGGAGGAGGAGGAGGAGGAGGAGGAGGAGGAGGAGGAGGAGCGAGGAGCGAGGAGCGAGGTTTGAGGAGCGAGGAGCGAGGAGGAGGAGGAGGAGGAGGAGGGAGAGGGGGAGAAGGAGGAGGAGAAGGAGGAGGAGGAGGAGGAGGAGGAGGAGGAGGAGTCCGGCACCCGCTGGAGAAGCGATCGCATTCCAACATGCATCAAGAGGGTGGCACACCGGCCTCAAGGAGGTCGCCACCTGGGGCCAAGGGCGTCCCACAAGACAGGGTTAAAACTCCAGCGAATTCGTTACGGAATCGGCTCGAGTCGCACGGTTTCTGCGCTCCACAGCGCCCGCACCGAGTGCTTCGGCCGTCGCTCGATCTGGAAAGCCGAACAACGCCAACCCCCTCGGCAAGTCAACCCCCATCCCGCTGGGAGCCGTCGGGCTCAAGCCTTCGGCAGGCGGCCGTGCGAAGGCGGGATGCTGATGCAGTCCCATCTTGGGCGTCAGCCAGGCCCTCGATGCCTCCGAAATTACCGTCGGCCTATCGACACGAAATCCATTACGAGATGGATGGTCCCCGCGCAGGATCCAAGAAAATTGTCGCTCATGGCCCATCGAGCACGCTCGCAAGCAGTCCGACGCGAGCGCGCTCCTGCCCCAGTGGCCCCCAATCTGGCTCACGGCTCCGCATGATGAGCATAAGGCAATCATCATATGATTCACCTTCAGCTTCAGCGTCATCGCCATCATCTTCACCATAATCAGAAACACCACCACCACTATCTTCATCAGCATCAGCATCAGCATCAGCATCAGCATCAGCATCAGCATCAGCATCAGCATCAGCATCAGCATCATCATCATCATCATCATCATCATCATCATGATCCACACCGAAATCGTCGTCGGCATCGTCGTCATCTTCATAATTTTCTTTATCATGGTGATAATATATTGTCGTCGGCAGTACTTTCCTCGCCATCACTATCATAATCAGTCTCATAATCATCACCCTCATTCTCAACAGCCTCCCCACAATCATCATCACCGTCATCACCACCACCACCATCATCATCATCAGCTCATCATACTCATCAGGATCATCATCATCATCATCATCAGCATCAGCATCATCATCATCATCATCATCATCATCATCATCATCATCATCATCATCATCATCATCATCATCATCATCATCATCATCATTACCACAACCATTATCACCACAACCATCTTCACCATCATCGTCACGACCACCATTACCATCATACCATCATCTCTGTCATCACCCTCACCATCCTCCCCCTCCCCCCTCCCCCTCCTCCTCATCCTCACTCTTCCCTCCTTCCAACAACAAAAACCCGGGGGTGTGCTACTGTCAGAACTTCGAAAGGGAATCCAGCCGTGGCGACAAGGGCGCTCCAGGAGGTCCGAAACGAGCACACAGGACGTCCGAAAGCCTCGGCCCCCGATCCTTCGAACCCGCCCTGGAACCCCTCCTCCATCCCTCTTCCATCGTGGGGGAATGTTATGAAGGGGCCCTGGGACACACAAGTGAATACACACAAATAAAAAGATCCCCCATATATTTCCGTATTTTCTGAGTTTCTGTCTTCCCCCCCCCACTGCCCATATTTTCCCATGTTTTCTGGGGAGTAGTCGACGTTTCTTTGCGTCTGCGTGTTGTGTCTCCTCCTGAAATGTAGGGGTCCGGGCCTGGACCCTGGGGCCCCACCCCCAGGTGCAATCTTGTATCTTTCCTTCTGGGGCCCGGGGAGGGCCACGGGAGGAACTGGCGGCGCGCACAGGCGGGTAGAGGGAGGGAGGGAGGGCTTCTTCGAAGGAGGCTGCATCTTAGAAGGCGCCGGCCTTACATCTATAGATGAGGCCCGCGCCTTCTAGGAAGCCAGGGGTGCTTCTAAGAAGCCCTCCCCCCTCCTCTGCGCGTGGCTGACTACCCCCAGGACCAATGTTTCATGTTTCATTCTGGGGCCTGGGGAGGGCCACGGGAAGCCGGAAACGCCCAACAACGCCTCAGGACCCGCCCTGTCTCAGGGCACCTTCCTCACCTGCGCGACGCCAGCCTCCGGGGCTCCGACCACCTCTCCGGGGACCTCCCCAGCGCCAGGCTCTCGTCCTGAGTCGGTTGACCCTTGACGGCCCCCGGGATGGGAACCGGCCTCCAGGAGGCGAACACGAGAAAGAGCCGGCCGTCACTGCGTTCACTGCGATCCGAAGGCGCGAGCAAAAATACAAGCTCGTGAAAAATCACGGCTGGAACCGCGGGCCCCATCTGTCTGCGCCAGGTTTCGAGCCGTCGATCTGTGGGGGCCCCGGCGCCCTACACTGGGCGACACCGCCCGGCTCGCAGACAATGCGTCGCCAGGATCTCAGGGTGTTGCGCAGCCCGCGTCTCCAGGCCCTCCTACGACCCTCGTCAAAGTTAACTTCAAAAATGGCGACCACGCCCCTGCGATGTCGGCGCGCCCTTCAATGCCGATAGACGCCCCTCCAATGCCGGGGCCAAGGCAAAAGTGGTCTGACCGGGAACGACTCGGGAGTTCGATGATGACAGACACTGGAGGGGCGGCGCATTCAAGTACCTCGCAGTCACCGCAAGTCTGTCCAGTATCTCCCCACAAACAGGTCAGCCACATAAGACATGTTTGAGATTAATTTTGATGAGGGTTGTAGGAGGCCAAGGGATGCTGCCAGAGAGGTGTCCCCGGCCTAAGGTGTCCACCTTGGATTTTTCCAGGGAGGCCCAGGTGGCCTCCAGAAAGCACCCCCTCACAAGGCCCTGAGAGGGCCTCAGCGGCTGTAAAAAGTGGCGCGAGAAGCTGGAGGCACCTTGGGCCATGGCAACCTTTGGCACCACCCGACGAAGCACTGCTGGATCTGGGGGGTCATGGGGCTCGCAACGAGGCAAACACGTCGTTCGATTGCCCATCGGTCGGAAGAAGTAGGTAGAGACATGAAGTAGTATCTCCCCAAAAAACATTTGGACGCCCGAAGTGGGAACGGAAAGAATGGGTACAATGCCCAACAACAAGTGTTGTCCCAAGCCAACAGCGGCCGCTGTTGGACAGGCGGTCTTCTGTCTCAAATGGACACAGGCCGCGGCGACACCGACAGCGAGTCCCGTTCAAAATGAACAGGAACTGCTCTTGGGCATTGTACCCATTTTTTTCGTACCCACTCCGTTCGTGCCAAACGTAGGATCTCCCCACAAACAGGTCAACCACGTAAGACATGTTTGAGGTTCATTCTGACGAGGGCTGTAGTTCGGGAGCGGCCAAGAGGGGGGATGTCCAAGAGAGGGGGGGGTGCAAATCATGACCGGCGGCATGTGCGCGGCCCAGCGGGGGGGCCTGGGACGTAATAAAATAAGAAGAGGCGCCATGAAATCTGAGGAAAAATCATGGCCCGCGCCATGAAATCCCCCCCCCCTAGTCATCACCCCCCTCTTTTCCGCTCCCGACTGTAGTGCCAGCTCGGCCCGCGGGCGGGCGCGGCTCGTGCGGGGGAGGAGGAGGAGGAGGAGGAGGAGGAGGAGGAGGAGGAGGAGGAGGAGGAGGAGGAGGAGGATGAGGAGGAGGAGGAGGAGGAGGAGGAGGAGGAGGGAGGAGGAGGAGGAGGGGGAGGAGGAGGGAGGATGGAGGAGGGCTGTAGTGCCAGCTCGGCCCGTCTGGCCCACCGAGCGGCCGGCCTTCCGCGGGCGCGGCCGCCGCCGCCCCACGACCGCCCCCGCCCCCCCTGGCGGCGGCTCCTCCACGGCCTCGTACGCGTCCTCGCGGGCGGCCCGGCCACCACCCCGCACTGAGGGCTGCGGCGGCGACGACGACGACGAGGACGGCGACGGCGAGAAGGACGACGGCGAGAACGACGACGACGACGAGAATGACGACGAGAATGACGACGACGAGAATGGCGACGACGACGAGAATGACGACGACGACGACGACGACGACGACGGCGACGGCGACGACGACGGTAGCGACGACGACGACTACGACGACCACGACGACGACAACCACACCACGACGATGACCATGGCAGTGCCTACGACGACGATGACGACAACGACGACGACGACGACGACGACGACGACGACGATGACGACGACGACGACGACGACGGTGGCGACGACGACGACGACTACGACGACGGTGGCGGTGGCGATGACTACGACGGCGACGGCTACGACGACCACGACGACGACCAAGAAGGCGACCACGACGAACGACGAACGAGCCGGGGGCAGCTCGGCCGCTGCCCTGGTTCGTACTGAGGGCAGCTAGGGGTCCAACGTCGAGGTCCGTAGAGGATTCCGACGCGGGGAGGTGCCACAGGTGGGGCAGGAGCAGAGGTGGTGTGAAGGAAATCGCTCTGAACGGCTCCTGGGCGAGGGAAATGTCAGCCTCGAACTGGATTCGCTCCGTGACCGCGCCTTGGGCTAACCCCGCTCCTTTGGGTACCCCAGATTTCTATATCCAGGGGCCCTCACCGGGCCCCCGGGAGCGTCATAAAACTGCCCGGGATGGGGAGGCTGGCCCTGAGGAAGAAAGGCCAGGATGAGTCAGCATCGAACAGGGAGATCGGATCGCGCCCGAGCGTGCGTCGAACCGGGCTGCATCGGCACGGGATCGAAATCGACGCGGATCCGCCGCGCCAGGATGCACAACAGCGCCATGCAAGCATCGCTTCACACCAGATCGTCGGAAGCTCGGAACCGAATCGGTCGGGACTTCCGTGGGCACCGCACCGAAAAGAGAGGCCATCTCTCGGAGGTCTGCCAGGAGGGGTTCCACGGCCCCGCGGCCCAGCGCGGGCCTGGGGCGGGAAGGCGAGGGGGCTCGCATCAAGCTGGGTGCGCTCGCACCTCGTGTGGAAGCCTCCCAGATGGGGTCCGAATAGACTGGGTCGGAGGATCGCGCCGCATCGGCGATATATCGGCGATGCATCGGCGATGCATCGGCGACGTCGGCGATGCATCGGCGCCGCCTGCGTGGAGAAGATCGGGCTCCACATCGAGCCGAACCGGCAATGCATCGGCGATGCATCGCCGACGCGACGATATCCTCCGATCCCGTTTTACTCCGACCCCATCTACTACCCTCGTCAAAATTAACCTCAACAGTTGGTGGCACGTCATTTCGATTTCGGCGCGCCCCTCAATATCGACACGCCGCCCCTTCAATGTCGGGGCGAGGGCAAAGATAGTCTGACCGAAGTTGACTCGAAAGTTTGACGTCGACCGACATTGGAGGGGCGGCGCATGCAAGTACCCCGCACTCATCGATACTCGGCCCCAGATCTTCCGACAAGCAGTTCCGACACGTCAGACATGTTTGAGGTTAATTTTGACGAGGGTTGTAGGAGGCCTAAATCATCTGACGTCCTACCCCTCCCTCCCATCCCTTCCCATGGCGCCGAGTTTTTGTATCCGCGGACGCGTGTCATTTCCGACTTGCGACTCACACAGAAGCTTCGTACACAGGAGCACCACACCGACTAATGAGCTCATCGCGAAGAGATGGCGGGAGAGCAGGGAGAAGGAGCGGGAGGAAAAAGACGAGGGCGAACAGCAGCAGCAGGAACTTAAGCAGAAGTATCGGGAGGGACAGGAGATGACAGGAGGGCCAAGGGAAGGCGGAGGAGGGGAAATGAGGGGGGCGACAACGATGAAGAGAGGCTCGGATTCAGAAAAGCGGCCCGCGCTGGGGCGAGAAGAACATCAGTAGCAGGAACTGGAATGGGCGGGAGGAGAGGGAGGACCAGTGGAAGGCGGAGGAGGGGAGATGATGGGGGAACCACAATGGAGCGAGACTGAAGGGAAACTGGGACACACAAATAAATACACACAAATAAAGATATTCCCCATATCTTCCCATATGTTCAGTGTTCTTGTCTTCCCCCCCACTGCTCATATTCTCCCATCCTTTCTGGGGAATCGACGATTCATTGTGTCTGTGTGTTTTTTCCCCTCCTGGTTGGACCCCGAAGAGTGGCCCGCGCGGGGGCGAGAGCGCCACTCTGAAAGGGCGGGGGCCACGCGCCGATCCGGAGACGAGAGGCCCACCCTGCAGGGAGAAAAACCATCGGACGACACAGAAGCAGAAGAGACATCCATGTGTTTTTTTGCCACGAGATGAGGTCAGAAAACGTCAGATGGAGAAGAACGGGGTGTGGCTATCGGAGAAGACCTGTTCCTCACCACTGTGGGGGGGCCACATCCCACAGCGGGCCAGCGACAGGCCACACCCGGAAAGAAGAGGCGACCAAACGCAGCGAACATGACCAAGAGACGGGAAGAAGAGACACCCCTGTGTGGATCCCTGTGCAAAAAACGGCACGCGGAGAGGGCGGGAGAGCCTCCGGACAATCTCAGAGGGGGGAGCGGTGCACTCATACTGTCTGATTGCCATGGGGGCCCAGGGAGGGGCAGACAAAAGGCACGACGCCCGGGATGCCCACATGTCTCCATCTCCTCTCGACCTTCGTCTGCTCCCCCACTTCCCACCTCTTCCGATCTGTCCTCGGGGAATCGACGATTCCTTGTCTGCGCCTAATTAGTTCCATCCAAATCACAGGGAGGATGGGGTGATCGAGGACGGGTGATGGCAGAACTGCGCGTTAGATCGACCCGCGAAATCGGGCCGCGCCCGCATGGCACATCGGGCTCGGGCCGCTCCTCGCCATCGCTCGAACGTCCATTCCCTGTGCCTTTTCTTCTCGGCCTCGTGCGTGGCTTTCTCGCCACATGCTCAGGGATGCTCCTCGATGGCCCTCGCCGAAGGAAAACAAGACACACGCCCGAGCGATGCCAGGGCTCGGGGCCGCGGACCGGGCCCGGCCGCCGCAAGAGCTCGGGAGGGGTACAGGCCTCCGAGGGCCCAGGAGGTGGGGCAACCCGGCCGCCTTGATCTTGGAGGCCTCTGGCCAGGCCGCGGGCTCGGACAGGCCCAGGCAACAAGTTTTAAGTCGGGCCTGTCCCCCTACAGGGGGATTTCCGACGACAAATAAAAAATACCCCCCAAATAATCCAAAAATAGTCCAACAATAATCTGGGAACTATTTTTGGACTATTTGTTTGCCTTTTTGGGGCATTTGTGGTGTATTTTTCAATTTTTCGTCGAAAATCCCCCTGTAGGGGGACACGCCCGACATAAAACAAGTTGCCTCCTCGACCTCTGAGACGCGGGAGGCCGGCAGAGGCGGCGTGCAGGGCATGCCAGAGGAGTCTCTGCGCGGGCCGCGGGACCTCTGAGGGACGTGGCGCGAGCGGAACGCCGGGAGGGGGTACTGGGCGGCCTCGTTCGCTGGGGGGGTGGGGGCCTCCGCGGGGGGCCTCTCCGGAGACGAGCCCGCTCCTCCTCGCGGCCTCGACGGACGCCGGCGATCGACCCCTGCGCCCCGACGCAGAGCTCCCACGAGACCGTTGAGGAGCCGCCCCCGCCGGGGGGGGGGGGGGGGCAGTCGCGTTGCCCGGTTGCCCGGCCGGGTGTGTCGGCTGGCGGGCTGAGCCGGGAGGAGGTGGACTCAGCACGGGGGAGAGGTGCCCCGAGGGAGCCAGGCCCCGAGGTGTCTCGCAGCGCCTGCCCTCCCGGGGCCCTCGCCGCGCTGAGTCCCCGCGGGCCCAGCGGGCTGCGCGTGCACGGCCGCGCGCGCACCGCCGGCTCATGCAACCCCGCAGCGCGCGAGCGCTCGCCGTTTTCGGGCTCCTGGGGCCCTCCACTGGCCCCGGGGCAATCAAAAAACGGTTGAGGATGAAACCCCAGGGAGGAGAAGGGAGGGGGGAAGAGGAGGAGGAGGAGGAGGAGGAGGAGGAGGAGGAGGAGGAGGGCCACAGCGTGGAAAGGAGGAGGAGGGGAGCCACGATTGACGGGGAGGTAACGAAATAAGCTGCAGCAATAAGAACAAAAGAAACTGGGAACGCCCGCACGCCCGCGAGCGACCACAACCACATCGAAGACACACCCTGGGCATGTCTCGCGCGTGCCAAAAAATGTCGCAGCACCGAAACCAGCTTCGTCCTGGTTGTGGCCGATGTGGCGTCCCAGGGACGGCCAAATCGGCCACAACCACAACCAGAGTGTTCATGCCGAGGTCGGTGGGTTCTCCCACGAGGCGCCCTCGCGAAACATCCAAGCAGTTGTGGTCGCGGCTCTTGGTTGTACCCAGATGCACGTCGTTCATATTTCTAATCGTGCTCATTTCTAATTGTGCTCGTTTCTAATTGTTCCTGGCCCCCTCGTGGCCAGGAAGAGGCCCAGGATAGAACGGTGAGAAATGAAAGGACCTTGGCCCCCCAGAAAATCAAAGAACTCTCGCAGACTTGGACATGAACCATGTGCAGTCTTCGACGCCGAGCTCCGCCGCAGGGCGGGCGGGGCAGGCAGGGGGCCTCCGAGGGCCCGCGAGGCATGGAGCCAGCACCCGCCGTGGGCCGCTTCGGGCCGCCAAGGCTCCAGGCATCGAGCCATCGGGGTCACTCCGCTCGGGATGCACAAAAGGGGGGAAAGGCCTCCGAGAAAAGAGAGAAGCCCGACGCCACCGCGGGGCCGAATCGCAAGGGTGCAGGCCATGGAGGGCCCTCGAAGCAGGCCCCTCCGGGGGCTCACCCCAACGTCTGAAGCGCAGTGCTGTCTTGAGCTGGGCGCGAGATCAAAGCCACAGATCCTACAGGTCACATCCTTGCTGCCAGTTTGCCCGCGTCCGCGGGTCGACCACGAGGAGGGAGAGGAGAGGAGGGGCACGAGGAGGGAAGCGGAGGACAAGGTCAGAGGCGAAGTGCGGCCAACCATGATTGCACACGAGCCGCAGGCGGCGGGAGGGGCGGGGGTCAGAGGGGGTAACGGGACGGGAGGGGCCAGAGGAATGAAAGGCGGCGAGCAGGAAGACGAGGAGCGTGGAGGAGGTTGGAGCAACGGAGTGAGGATGAGGAGGGAAGAAGAGCAGGGAAGGGAAGGAGGAGGAGGAGGAGGAGAAGGAGGAAGAGGAGGAGGAGGTGTGCGGAGGAGCGGGACAGGGAGACATGAAGGAAGGACAGTGAGGGAGCGGCGGCTCCACGCAGCTCTAGCTTCTCTGCCAGTCCCCCCTCCCTCCTGTGGACGGGGTGGATGTCGTGAGGGGGAGAGAGGACCGAGGGGGGCACTCAGGTCTTCCATCGAGGAGGAGGGGGGAGGAGTAGGAGGAAGACGCAGATCGAGGACTCAAATTTTCACATGTTCACACCTTCTGAGCTGCTGCGCGGCAGCGCTCGCCCGGACTCCCAGCCGCGAGAACCCCAACTGGCTCTGCCCAGACGCCGGCTTCACTGTGCAGCACAAACGCTGGGTTCATAAATGATGTGCTCATGCATGTAGCCGCCATCCTGATGCGCCTCCTTCTGATCCTCCATCTGCGTGGTGTGCACATGGTGTGAATGGTCGTCCAAATCGTGGCCATGGCCATGACTGTGTCCATCCTCATGGCCGTGGTCGTCCTCAAGGTGTCTGTGCCTCTTCGACTTGTAAAAGACGGTCCATGCGATATACGCTGCCGCACCTGAGAGACCGTCGCGACACTCAACGGTCCAGTTCGCCCCACCCCACTCCATTCCAACGGTCCAATTACCCCCAATCTCCCCCATTCCCCATCCTCCCCACGAGGGAAAAAGGCGATGGGGGGTTATCGAGACCTCGAGGTTGGCACCGGCACCGGAGTCGGCTGTCGTCTCCACCGAAGCAATTCGATTCCCCGATCTCGGTGATAGCGTTGACTTTCAGGCCTCTCGGATGACCTGCGTAAGGCTTAACACCAGTACCACAATCGAGGACCATCGTCGTCCGGCAGAGACGACCGCAGATGTAGCTGCTTGTGCCAATTTCCGATTTTGCGCTTTGGGGCTCGTAAAGGTGGGAGGCTGTTCTTGTGCTTGTGATGCTCTGTGTCGACGACGATCACATAGTGGGCGTGCTGGACCCGTGCGCGAGGTGTTTCGTGCATTGAGGATTTCTCTCGGCGACGGCTGCGTCAAGTGGACGCGTGCGGGGAGGGCTGGCGCGGTGGTCGTGGCGGAGGTCCCTCCTGGCACCGCAACTGACGAAGAAGGCCGAGCTCTCGACCAGCAGAACGAACTGGTCGGGGCGGCTGAAGCACATGCCCGAGCCGTACATCGCCAGCGTGGCCAGGGACAGCACGGCTTGGTCTACGGCGCCGATGGCCGTGGTGTGCTGCCTGTCCACGAGCTCCTGCTCCTGATTCAGCACGCCCAGCTCGAAGGCGTAGAGGCCCGGCCTGCCCAGGCAGACGGCCGCCATGAAGACCAGGAGCGGCACCGTGAGGCCGTCGGGCTCGGGGGCGCCGCTGGGACCGGCCGCGGCCCGGAAGGACAGCATCGCCGTGAGCATGAAGGCTGCCAGCCAGCACACGCTCAGGCTGTTCGCGACGCGGTCGCCCAGCTTCCGCGCGAGGGGGTCCCGGCACACCGTGCCCAGGATGCCGAGCAGCGCGCCGGCGCCTCGCATCACAGACAGCTCCGTCGGCGTGACCCGCCTGTTCTTCAGGAAGGCGGTGATCAGCGCGCCGTGCGGCGACAGCACGGTGAGGTATAGCAGCGCGTAGGACCCAGAGAGAAGCTGCAGGCCTCCAGGGTGCCTGCACCACGTGCCCCAGGCGCCCTCGGGAGGCACTGGACCCTTGCAGGGCCACTCGGATGGGCGCTCGGTATGCGGGGACTGTGCTCGATGCAGGACAGCGGCGCTTTCCTGCCGCCTCCCTGCTCCATCCCGCGCGAAACTGGCACACTCTTGGCACTGTCCTGCCACGTTCCCGCGCGCTGCCGAAGGCCCCGTTACTGGGTACCCGTCTCGGTGGCGCTGACCTTGCGTTCCTTGCGGACCGGCTGCAGAAGCCCAGAGTGAGAGCGGTAGATGCTGCGCAGGAGGGCGAGCTGGGGCCAGAAGGAAAGCGCGTTCAGAAGGCCCGTGGCCACGAAGCCGAAGTCGGTGGCGTCCACGAAGCTGGGGATCAGAGGGGAAGCCAGCGCACCCGCTGCGATTATGGAAGAAGAAAGAGCTGCATAAACATACCCTGTCCGAGATAGCTCCTGGCGCGCTTCGCGCACCAGGGAGGGGGGGGTCCAGCACCAATCCAAGAAATCCGCGCGGCTCTCCTAAAGTTGATGTTTGTGCAGTTGTTCTCTTCTTCGTGATAAGCAACCCAGCAAGGAAGGGGCCGACCACCTCGGTGGTCAAATCGATCCGCCCCCTCCGCTGGAGAGACGCACGGCTGGCAGCACGGCGCCGGCACAACACGACGGGCTCTCCTGCGACCTGTTATTTGTTAGATCTGCTGGGCTAGAACTGAACCTGTGCTGCACACAATGTACTTGCTCAGTGTGTCTTCCGGGAGGGGACCCCATCTCGTTCAAGCAGCGCGTTGGTAATGATGAGACCACCCTGCGCTGCGGATGACGTAGGGGGGCGGTGAAAGGGCGCGATTTTGGGTTTGTGATGGCCTCGCGTCAGAATGGAAACTGATATACGACCATCCTCTTGTTTCAAGCTATACCTATACGGGTAGTAAGGAGGTGGGGGAACACAATGATTACATTGAATCGAACGCACGATTCAACTCACGAGAGGGAACGCAGCGGCACATCAAGATTGATCTACCTGTCCACACATGCATGTCCACCTGTTTGAAAAATGACAAGTGAAAATGACAGATGTATGAACATGCATATGCGCACTCACATTTACATATATGTCGCCGAACCAATGGTTCTGAACGCGCCCACATAGAGGGAGCAGGCACCGCGGCAAACCCACCGCGAACCTTGCGTACGAGGCGAAGTCTGCCCTGGTGGACAAGGCACCCTGCCCGAGGCGTAGGGCCGCGCGTCGGAACAACCGGCGCGGCGACATATACGTGCATGGCAATCGGGTTGAATATATATATATATAAGTAAAAATATAAAAATATAAACACATATATATATATATATGCCGACGTATACATACAATTATACATGCAAATGTACGCCAATGTACCTGCATGCATAAACCATAGACATGCGTCTACGATCTTCCGTACGCACCCATTTACATGACTCTGCGAAGATGTATCTCATCATGCGTAACTGTATTGACACACGTCTCGTCACACGTAAATGGACAGAGACATTTCTATGTCTACGTGCTCGCCGATGTGCAAAACCACAGCACTGCAGGCTCCATCGAGCAGCAGCCATAGAACACCACACATAGAGCACCAAGGCAAGAACCAGAAGTCGTAACCATTCAGACCATTCTAGGGCGGCATCCATAGATAATCGCACATAGACCACTCGTGCAATAACGAGAAATCGAAGACACTCTGTAATCACATTAGAGCACGACCCATTGGGCGCCAAGGCAAAAACGAAACATCGCAATCGCCAATGAATCATAGGCCACCAGCCACAAGAGCACCACCAATGAAACACCAATGCAGGAACGAAAAATCGCAATCACTAAACCACCATAAGCCACCAGCCATAAAGCACCACCTGGCGTGAACGAGGGCAAACATGAAACAGCACAGTCGTTAAAGCATTATCGGGCACCAGCTGCAACGTACGACCTATCGGGGCACCAAGACAAGAACGAGAAACCGCATTCGATAAAGCACCACAGTGCCCCACCCATAGAGCACCGATAATTAAGCACGTGGGCAAAAATGAGCACTCGCAACCACTGAGGCACCATGAAGAGTCAGCCATAAAGAACCAAGGCAAGAACGATAACCCACAACTATGAGGTTCAATCCCTCCCAAGCCTGGTACGAGACCATTCGCGCAAGCAGCGGGTGGTTTGTGGGTGTCAAGCCCATGTGTGATTCGTCTGCTTCGCTTCCTCAACAAAGCATAAGTCCCCCCCCCCGCCACATCGACCCAGCACGCACTAGTTTATTTGACTTCGTCCTGGTGGCGCATGCCTTCCACGCTTCGGTTGCAAGGTTCCGTGCCCCCTCCCCCCAGTCGCCCCTCCGCCCCCCGTTCACGCCAGGCCCGGCCCCATCCGTCGGGCGCCCCACCAAGCGCGGTGTCGCATTCGCGCGGCGGCGCAACTGGCATCGGAGTGTCTCACGGACTACACCTCGGACTATCAACCAAGCGCTCGACCTGACGTTCGCCATCTCCCCGTAGTCCCAGATCAACGAGTGCGTGCACTTAGGCTGTTCACTGAAGTCTCAGGAACTGTGTCAATCTGAGTGTCCAGGGATTCTTTTTTTGCGTGGCCATGGATTGGTGCGCCACAAAATGCGTCCATGGGTTGCGCTCATGGGTTGCGCCTGCTGTCGTGGGGTTTGCCGTGGTCATCGGTTGTGCTCATGGGTTGCGCCACAGGTTGCGCCCATGGGCTGCGGCCGACCTGTCGGGGGACTTGTTCGTGGCCACCGTTTGCGCCCATGGGTTGCGCCACAGGCTTCCACATCCAGACCTCCTTGGAAGTCGTAATGCAAACAACGATCGTCAGCAACCCCTGAACCAAAACCATAATGTCACTTAATACTTGCACGGTGGCACATAGCGCAACACTCTTCGATATTACAGTCGGGTTCGAAAAAGAAAATGAAGAAACTGATGATGAACCGTGTCAGGGCGACCCTTGTTTCCAGAGGACTGGGGATTGTGGAGCCCCTCGCTCTTTTCATCTGGTTGTTATCGAGTGAAACGCTTCGCTGCCCTTCAATGGTGACATGTTTTGTCACTTTTGCGTTTCGCCGTGATCCTCGTTCGTCTCGATTTCCTTTTTTTGTTCTCTCTCTCTCTCTCTTTCTCTCTCTCCTTCTCGCCCTCCTCCACCAACTCCTCCTCCTCTCTCAATACCTTTCTTTTTTTGTTCCGTCTTCCCTCCACCCCCCCCCCCCCACCCCTGGGGGAACAAAAAACATCGGTGACGCGGCCGCCCATTTTTTTGTTTTGTTTCGGGGGGGGGATCGTATTGAAAGGATCCGTCCACAGAAAGATTTCTACTGAACCCGTCCACAGAAGGATTTCTACCGAATCCGTCCACAGAAGGATTGAGATCATCCACAGAAAGATTTCTACCACCCCCCCCCCGAAAAAAAGGGGGACACAAAAAAACGGCGGCGCGGCCGCCATTTTTTCTCGGGGGTGGGGATCGGCGGCGAAAAAAAAATCCGACGCGGCCTCATCTGGCCTCACCCCTACAAGGATTCCTATTGAACGCCCCCGCAAGAAGGACTCATAGCGAAATCCTCTACAGCAGGATTTCGATCGAAACCCTCCACTGAAGGATTCTTAGTGGAATCCTCCAAATGTGGATTCGTATTGAAGTCACACGCAGAAGGATTGCTATTGAGATGCTTCGAAAGAAAGAACCCCCGCGCTGGCATTGCATTGGCATTGGTTTGGCTATGGTTTGGCATCGCATTGGCATTGCGCTTGGCAGTGCGTTGGCATTGCGCTTGCACTTTGCAAGCATTGCGCTGGCGAGTCCTAATGGAATCCTCCACAGAAGGACTCCTGTTGAAACCCTCTACAAAAAGGGCTCCGATTGAAACCCTCCCCCAAAAGAATTCATATTGACACCCCCCACAAAACGATTACATGCGAGATCTTCCACAGACGGATTCCCACTGAAATCTACAACACAGGATTTCCCCCATTGGCACAACATTGGCATTGGCTTGGGGTCGCCTTGACATTGGTTTGGCATTGCGTTGGCACTGCGTTAGCATTGTGCTGGCGAGTCCGAATGGCTCCCCCTACAGAAGGATTCTGGTTAAAACATTCCGCAATAAGGGATCCTCTTGAAAACCCCCACATGAAGGATTCATAATGAAACCCCAACAAAAGGATTCCAATCGAAACCCTCCACAGGACAATTCCGATCGAAATCCACCGAAGAAGGATTCGTAACTAAATACTTACCAGAAGGATTCCTATAGAAATCTGCTGAACGAAAGGAGTCCCGCCATCGGCATTGCATTGGCATTGGTTGGCAACGGTTTGGCATCGCATTGGCATTGCGTTGCGATGGCAGTGCATTAGCAGTGCGTTGGCATTGCGTTGGCATTGCGCTGGCTGTGCGCTGGCGAGTCCTAATCAAACACTTCGCGGGGGGATTCCAGTTGAACCCCCCCACAAAAGAATGTTTATTGAATCCCCCCCACAAGAAGGATTCAAATTTAACTCCTCCACAAAAAGGGTTCCATGCGAAGCCCTCCACGGAAGGCTTCCTATTGAAATCCCCCCGAAGAAGGGTTCTTCGAAGGATTCCCCTGTGGATGACATCATCCACAGAAAGGCTTCTTAGAACATTTACGATTGAAACCGACCACAAACGATTTCCCCCATTGGTATGGCATTGGCATTGGATTGGGATCACCTTGGCATTGGTTTGGCAGTGCGTTGGCACTGCGTTGGCATTGTGCTGGCGAGTCCTAATGACTCCTCCTACAGAAGGATACTGATTAAAACATTCCACAAGAAGGGATCCTTGAAAACCCCCCATGA